TATTTATTTGAACAGGGACAGTGTACATTAATCAATATTATACGAGGTAAGTGTGCCAGAGTTAGCTAAATTGAACTGAATTTCATCGGTAGTCCCATGGGCCGTTCCATATCCTAGCAGCATAGATCTGAAATGCTGCCTCCCCATGTTTTTCCCCAGCAGGAGGCCAGTCCCTGCGCTTCTGAGAGTCCGAACCCATTCATTTGGCACTAACATGTCTCGGATGTACTTTGAGAAATTCATGAAAAAGTGAAAAGTTATTCCACTTTTGAATGGACTAGAATCGGTTCCGCTGATGTCAAACTATGGGCTAAACTGTTGTGTGCCCAGTGTGCCACAGTGGGTAGAGAATAAAACAGGACATAGTCATTTGTGGTGATTTAAACATTATCACCACCACCACACTCAGGCAGAACTGAAGGGAAATGTAGAACCCGTCGCCTTGTGCCCGTAGGAAACCCATTTGGATGGAGATAGTCGAGTCGTGTCTATGGCAGGAGAGTAGATCGGAGGTAATGTGTAAGACCATGACTAACAGGGAAACTCTTCATACGGTGTGTGAGAGCATGGACACCCGCGGAGAACATTACCGCTACACGAGTCTACGGCCAGACGGAAAGAAATAACGCTGACAACCAGATGTGCAGCACGAGCCAGACGCCGCTCAAGGGTTTGGAATGAAACAGGATGGTAAAAAGTGACTGGGCTGTGATACGTCATGTAGAAAAACAAAGATTTAGTTTATCTTTTTTGGACCATTGGATACAAAATGATCAAAATGGTGTTCTCTGCAGTCAACCTTGTATTCTCTGCTGTTTTTATATGTTATAGGATTTGTCGCTGAAGAAACTCAAAGCTGCTTTGATTCTTTATAAATACTTCAATTTATCAGTTTAATAATAAAAAAAATATGTCAAACGATCACAAATAATCACTTATTTTTACCTGGTCGAAATGTCCCTTGATTTGGTTTGAAAGGGGATTGGACGAAGCAAAAAACTTATATTAATCCAATCCCCTCCAAAAAGAAAGTATTTGGAATGTCTAATATAGGCTTATCAATCTTATTGCTGTTTATTTGTCATGGTAGAAATGATTGTCTAATAAAGGCTACTCTTTTGTTTACTTTATCATTCAAGTCAGTGAGACAGTTTTTTTACAGAATATGAGATGACCACCGCAGTGGAAACAACTCAAGCTTCAGCGTTTGGGCTGCAAGCTATAGATAGTCGTGATTACTGTTGGACGTCAAATAATCAGCAGTGAGCGCGACTGCTTTTGTTTTCTCACACATGCTGTACCTTACGTCTGCCTCTCTGCTTTCTGCTGCGACAAGCGTATAGGGTACACCTTGGAATAAACATCGGCAGTAAGATTTGTGATTCATTGCGTCCAATCAGGAAGCTGCGGGGGAGGGCCTTACTCACGCTCGCATTCGAATGACTCTCTCCATCTTCACAAATTAGAAAGTAACTGACCTCTGCTTTAAGTTAGCTTACATCAGCAGTTTTGTGATGTCTAGATTCTTTGAACCAGACCAAGAGTAAACACGCCCTACATATCTATAACGTGTACACCTCCACATAAACCTGCTTGGTGCATATTTACTGTAAGTCTGTGAACGGCACGAACAAGCTGATTAAAGAGGAAAATGTGGGAAATCACGAGCAGCTTTCCCTCAGACGCAGAGAGCTCCGGCGATGACACGGAGTCTGCCAGTGACACATCCTGCATAATCTCCCCACATACACAGCACACGTCTCTCCTATTGTATGTTCCGGAGTATTGAGTGCTCTGTTGGCATGATTCCTTCGTTAGAGGGATGTTCGTGTGAGCTCTGCAACAGCACATACATAATCCACTATGTTAAGCCACTATACGTGAAATATAACTTTGTTTGTCACCATTAGAGGCCATTTTCACAGTACAATGCCACTTTTTTAATCTGCTTATTGAGATCTGTTGGTGCTGATTAAAGGGCCCTGTAGTTGAGTATTAAATGTATTTCTCCAGTGTAGATTTGTTATAAAAGTAACTCTGTATATGCACTTTGTATAATGCAGTATCTTAATATGAGGTGACTGAATAGATGCTACAGAAATGTTTACGGAAAGAACGTTTTGTGCAAACCAGTCAGACCACTGCATTCAAACTCTTATCTACTTAGAAAAGTATGCAAAAGATGTGTATGCAAAACACATCTTTTGCATTTGGTTCTATCACTCGTTTTCACATGCACGTATTTTTGGCCTCATTGTCACAGCTTATATCTTTTTTGAGAGCGAGGAGCAAGTGACATTGATTTTATAACATATTATTTTTGTGCTTTTAAAGTTAGGGACTCAAGCTTTAATGTCCGAGAAACTAGCAACTTCTAAAAGATGCTGGAAGAAAAAAAAAAACAGCACGTTGCGAGGAATGTGTGAGAAAAAGAGGCACAAGGTTAGAATCCAGCAAATTGTTACCAAAAATGTTCAATCAGATATTGACCTTTTTAAGACAAGGCCCTTTAATTAACTTTTGTGTGCAGTACGCTATATAATTTATTTCCAATGTACTTAGTTGATTTCATGGGCAGTATGGGCAGAGAACAGGGTCACTAATGGCTGGGTGACGCGGGAAAAATATCTGTAAATTAAATATAATCAGTTCATTTAAACTATTAAATTAAATTGTGCGTATTTAAGACAAACTTAAACAGGCGAATAAAGAGAGGTAAAACAGCATGTGTCGACGCAACCCAGCCTCAAGAAAATTACAATATGATATCCAATAAATAAGTCAATTTCTTAGAGCAAATCTTCATAATGCAAATGTTTTGGGTGAAAAAAATACAAATATATTTTTTACGGTCTGCCCCCTGCATGGCTCAGTCCTTTCTCCTAAACTCCTTAACTCCCCTTCAGCCGCTTGCACTGTTACTGTCACATAATTGGAATCTCTGGATTTGATTATGTCGATAATGCAATCTTTCGTTCTTTTACTTTTTTTGCTCAACCCTAACATCGTATACGGAATAACTTATTATATCTTGCAAATACAGCGAGAGTGAACTAAAAGAAGAGCTTTTTGACTTACGTCCAGTAAATACACAGTGTAATAGGCTCCTTTGTAATCCTGTGTCACAGCACATAAAACCACTTACTGTAGACATTGGCCTGCAGTGAAATAGCAGTGATTAACCAGTCAAAGGGATATTTGTCATTGAGGAAGCGTGTATGGTTGTTCTGGTGTGACAAAGGGGGGAGTTGACATCTGACAGGCAGGCTACAGAAGGGTCCGAGCAGGAGAGAGGTGTTAGTCCTTTTCAAGCATCCGCTGGCAACGAGGAGAAAAGCCCTCCTCAAAAGGTCAACCTGCATCCCCTCTGCCTTAATACTGAGCGTCTTCTGGACAAATCACTGTTGACGCCCTGTGAAGAGGTGCTGACACAACTGATCTCCAAAGAAAAACACCAGCCTCAGTTATGTAACGGTACAGCTTTCTGATGTACAAGGCTTTAAAGACCATTCAGAGACGATTCAGAAGCAATTAGGAACCAAGCCCTCAAGAGCCATCATGCAAATTGACTAATGAACATTGTTGATGCACCTTGTCCCCGTCGGACTATAACATCCAGTTTCATGGGAGGATTCGCAACTGTCAGCAACACATCACTATTAATTTGAGAGGTGAAAATATAGTTAACAAAGATGTACATATCTACAGGATTATAGATTTTAAAAGTAAAAAAATCCAATACATATTTTTATTTTTTTGATTGATAGTTTTGGACCTACATTTTACTTTTGCCATATTGTAATGTCTGCTGAAATAGGCTGAATTCTTGTAATAAAGCAGACGTATAGAATAGTGTACATGGTATCTGCCAGTGGAGACTGTTTGACTTGAATGCCTGGCACTTTTATGAAGAGAAAAGAGCAGCGGAACTTGCCAGACAACTACTGCTTCCAATTTCTGCAATAGGCACCCTTGAATGCATGGGAGACCAACCAGCGCAAGAATCCACAGAGTTTTTAATGCCATCCATCAAGTGAATAAATTACATACTGTCCCACAAATCATTCTGTGTCCTATAAGAAAACTGCTTGACATTCAAAATACATGTTTATCAAAATTTCATATTGCTTTGGACCTATATGCTTGAGTCCTGATTTTTTGTTCATATATATATCAATATTATTATATATTTAAAGTAATAATAATTGTATCGTGCACTTGTGTTACAGATGTGTCTGATGAAGGGTAGTGACCCGAAACGTCACATTTTGTGGTGATTATTAAAATCTCCTTGGAGCAAAAGCTGTGCAGAGTCATCTCCATTTCTTTCATGCACCTGTGTTACAACCTGTTTGTGATAGAAGTATTAAAGGCCATGCAAAACCCCTGGCATAACCAGATAGCTCAGTAACGTGATGAACGTAAATCTTAAGTGGTCTGTGCATATCTCATGTAGGCTACATAGATGTTTCCAATCCTCTCTGGTGACTGCATGCACAGTCTATATTCTATTAAAACTTCATGACTGAGTTCAGCTATGAAACAGTCTGTGTAAATGTTATTTCAGACTGGTCTGGTGAGAGCAGATGTGCGGAACATATCCAGCGACAGTATGAGTAAGGGACGGTAAGAATGAGGGGAACCCCAAAGCCACTGATTCCTAAAACGAGGCTTTTCCGCTGCTGTGTCATTACAGTGCCCCAGTGTGAACTGCACGCTGAGTTCACATCGAGCTCAGTTGTGGTATTTCATTGAGCGTGAGCTGCTCACGGAGCTCACGTCTTCAGTGAGCCCAGGATGCCGCCTCAGCATCGCTCCTAAATGTTTACGTAGCATCTGTCTAAGCGACATCCACCAAACATGCTGATGACACAGACACACGGGCCGCCTGAGCTCAAGCAGCGCGCAATGTTATGACCAAAGCATCCGTCTCCAGCTCAGCCTTGTCAGAAGAACACGGGGATGGAAACGTGCGGCTGTGCGGAGGAGAGGCGGCTTACCGGCTGCTGTATGTGCCGAGACGCTCCTCTGCCAGGAGCGGGCTGGTGCTGCCGCGGATGGTGCCCGTGCTGAGAGTAGTCGCTGCCCGCGGCTTTGTTGCCCGAGAGCCGGTCCCTCTTTTCGCGCACACTGGACCCGCGGTTGTGTCGCTCCTCTCCGGAGTCCAGGCTGCTGAAGTTCCACACGATGAGCGTCTGCACCAGCAACACGGTGAGCGCCGCTATCAGGGCGGACCGTGAGCGCCGAGCGATCCTGCGAGCGCACAAAGCCACCACCATGTTCACAGTGAGAGGCTGCTCTGCGCCTCCGAGCCGCTGTGCCTCTGAGCCGCTGTGCCTCCGAGCCGCTGTGCCTCTGCCTCCGTGGCTCTGCCTCCGTGGCTCTGCCTCTGTAGCGGTGCGCAGCGCGACAGCAGCACGAGTGCAACTGGAGCAGGATCAGCAGGAGAGAGGAGGTGTGCGCAGGAGGAGAGACACGCACAGGGCCACCGTGTGGAGAGAGAGCAGAACAAGGAGGGAGCTCATATCAGGGAATCCGCGCCACTGGTTTTCCTCAACAATGATGTTCCATTTACTGCATCACAGAAACAGGTCTAGTATTACGTTTTACTGATTGTGGCACAACTCAAGATGCGTGTGAGCATCAAGGGCCTTGATTAGAGGCACAAATATTGGAAGAGTGCCTATTAAAGGGCACCTACCGGAGCACACCCACTCGTATTTTAGGCAAATAGTAACGTCACACTGTGTTGTTGGAATCACTACAGAATGTTAATAAATGCTGCTTATCCTCTGAGACCGAGTTGCAGAGGAGGTAATGCTTTAGGCGACCCCAGTCTAAATGATTCTGCTGAAGTGATATGGAGTCTCCAGCTTATTTTAAAATATAATTTCCACATTACAAATCAGAATTAAAAGGCCTCCAGGGGCCACTGAAAGGCATGAATCAAACAGGAAAACACCCCAAATCTATCCCCAACACAACACCCATGGCCCCTCCTCACTAAATCATCAGCTGGGTGTTAAATTGGCCTTGTTTATTTAGACATTAACAGAGTCCATTTCACACAAGAGTGTTTCCAGCTGAAGAAGATGCATTTCCAGAGGTCCAGTCTCTGCATTCATCATGATGATAAATTGGCAAGGGAGTTACTCAGGGGAGTCACTCATCTGGGCGACTCGTCAGATTAACTAACTTGTCGCTAAATCATTTTTAATCATCTATTATTAATGAATTACATATTGTGTCTCATTTATGAATACAGCTTTAGTAATTGCTCAGTGAAGCATTGCCATCTGTTGACTTAGAACACATCCTTCACCAAGGGCACGGCGTCCTCCAGTAAGACTTGTTGGTCAGTCATGAAAATAATAACAATATTCAAGTATATTAAAATGAAAACTCATTGGTTGGAAAAACTATAACTACTTGCTTAAAGAAGCAATACCCAATTTATTTTCTAATGAGTTCATAAAAGTGTGTATTAGTAAGTAATGTTTATTTATAGAGCGCATTTTACAGACCAAGGTCACCCAAAGCGCTTTGCAATGTTCAGAGTTCAGATATGGTTCCAATCATTCCACACACGGTGATGACGGAAGCGAGTCGCCGAACACACTGGACCATCAGCCCCCACTCATCCATTCACTAATTTTCTTTCATACCTATTGTGCATTTTTTTATTGGTAGGGGAAACTGGAGCACCCGGAGGAAACCTATACGCATGTTCTCCCCGTGAGCACACGAACCCATGGGACCTTCTTGCTGAGAAGCAAGAGTGCTATCCGCTTTCTTATTAATGTACTATATTACTATACAAGTTGTATTAAAATCCGTAATTTAATTGAAAACTTGAGCTAACTGATTCAGCTTGTGTATGAATTCAGGCCGTATAAAAGTGCTGAGTAGAGACGTGACGCTAGCTCTCGTCCACTCACAGAACGAGGAGTGGACCAGGCCTCCTCTAGCCTCTACAGCACTGGTAAACAAGAGCAGCATGGAGCTGATAGTGGCTATACCTCCTCTGGCTGTGACTGCATACACAGCAAAACAGCCCAAACGACACAACAGTGAGGACGAGAAGAGGAAGCACAGGGACTGGACTCCTGTTAGTGCCCAAAGTCAGAACAAAACATGGGGAGGCTGCATTTCAGATTCATGCTGCTAAAATCTGTAACAATCTTCCTGAAGATGTGAGACAGGCCTCCTCTCTGACAATGTTTAAAACCAGGTTAAAAACAGTTCTGTTTAGCTGTGCACACAACAGAGGGATTTTATAATTTACCTTTCTTATTAATGTACTGTGATTATTTATGATTTTAATACTATTTTGTCTTGTTCAGCACTTTGAGTTGCCTTTTGAATGAATTGCGCTATACAAATAAACTTGCCTTGCGAACTAAAGCAAAAAAATGATCAAAGAAGAATTGAGGATATTGCAATATCACACAGTCATTTAAAGAAGGAGGAATTTGAACTATGCCACGCAACAGCGCAAGGACTCAAGATATTACCAGGTTCATCCATCCATTTTCTACCGCTTCATCCGTTGCCGGGTCGCAAGGGCAGTAGCCTAAGCAGAGACTTCCCTGAAGACCGCGAGAACTCCTCCACTTGAGGAAGGACCTCTCCACCTGGAGAGGGCAAGGCACCTTTTTCCGGTCAAGCACCATGGCCTGAGATTTGGAGGTGCTGATTCTCATCCCAGCCGCTTCGCACTCGGCTGCAAACCGTCCCAGTGCATGCTGCAGGTCCTGGTTCGTTGGAGACAACAGGACAACATCGTCCGCAAACAGAAGACGTTAAAGGCATGGCCAGTAATTTAACAACACTCTTGTTTACAGTTGTTCTTGTTGCTTCTTAATGCAAAATGTATCCGTGACCAAATATTACCCAAAGCTGAAATAATATTTCTAACTTAAATGTTGTTGTCATTATCCATAAATGTGACAGTCCCTCCACAATATTGCAATAATATCTTACCATGAGATCAATATCGATATAGTATTTTACAGTGAGATTAGGATATGGTTACGTTACTTCTATTCACTTGCACATATGTGGTGCCACTTGCCTGTGAAAGCCTGATCCTGTCACCTCCTAGAAGCTGAGCAGGGACTCTTCCTGGTTAGTACTGTGATGGGAGACTGCTGCAAGGCAAGGCAAGTTTATTTATATAGCACAATTCATACACAAGGCAATTCAAAGTGCTGAACAAAACAAGAAAGCATTAAAATCATAAATTATCACAGAACATTAAAAAGAAAGATAAAAATATAAAATCCCTCAGTTGTATGCACAGTTAAACAGAACTGTCTTTAACCTGGTTTTAAACATTGTCAGAGAGGAGGCCTGTCTCACATCTTCAGGAAGACTGTTCCAGATTTTAGCAGCATGAATCTGAAAAGCAGCCTCCCCATGTTTAGTCCTGACTCTGGGCACTAACAGGAGTCCAGTCCCTGTGCTCCTCAGAGTCCGGGCTGGTTCATATGGGACTAACATGTCACTAATATATTTTGGTGCGAGGCTATGGAGAGATTTGTACACAAGCAGAGCTGTTTTAAAGTCTATTCTCTGAGCCACAGGAAGCCAGTGCAGAGACCTGAGAACTGGACTAATGTGGTCGTACTTCCTGGTTCTAGTCAGGACTCGAGCTGCTGCATTTTGAATGTACTGCAGCTGTTTTACAGCCTGTTTGCATTTGCCTCCACCTACTGGAGACAAATGCATGGATAAGACTCTCCAGGTCTGCTTTAGACACTATGTTTTTGATCCTGGCAATGTTTTTTAGATGGTAAAAAGCTGCTGATGTTACTGATTTGATGTGGCTATTAAAATTTAAGTCTGAGTCCAGTATTACCCCTAGATTTCTGACCTTGTTTGAAGGTTTTAGGGAGAGAGACTGTAGGTGACAGATGACGCTCTCTCTTTGTTTCTGGGGACCAAAGACAATCATTTCAGTTTTGTCTGCGTTTAGCTGAAGGAAGTTGTTTTGCATCCACTCACTGATCTGTTGGATACAGTGAAGGAGTGAGTCCACTGGTCCATGTTCTCCTGCAGTCAGTGAGACATAGATCTGAGTGTCGTCTGCATTGTTATGATAGGAAACTTCGTTTCTGCGTATTAACTGACCTAACGGCAGCATGTAGAGATTGAACAGAAGAGGTCCCAGGATCGACCCCTGTGGTACTCCACAGGTCAGGGCCACATGATCTGAGACACAGTTTCCAATCTCCACAAAGTACTTCCTGTCCTCAAGGTAAGACCTAAACCAACTTAGGGCGGTGCCAGCGACTCCAACCCAGTCCTCTAGTCTCTGTAAGAGGATCTCATGTAGAGCTGCAACTAACGATTATTTTGTAATCGCTTAATCTATCGATTATTTTTACGATTAATCGAGTAATCGCTTGGCTGTGAATTGTGTAGAAAAAAAATATTTTTTCATCACAAAAAGCTAAAGTGGCAACACTCGAGGACGTATTGATGGCGTAAACTTAAAGTAAATGTTTGTAACAGGCTCTTTGTGCTAATTCTGCTATCTGATTGGATGAGACAGACAGGTATTCATGAAATTATAAAAACAAAGTCGGTTTTAATCAAAAAATACTACATTTTCATGTCATTTATGCTCTGTTTGAGTCCGTGTGAACCAGAAAACGATTAATCGATTACTAAAATAGTTGTCGACTATTTCAATAATCGATTAGTCGTCGATTAATCGATTAGTTGTTTCAGCCCTAATCTCATGGTCGACAGTATCAAAGGCAGCACTTAGATCTAACAAGATTAAGATTGAGACTTTGCCTGCGTCAGTGTTCAGCCGGATATCGTTTGTAACCTTGACAAGAGCAGTCTCAGTGCTGTGGTGGGGTCTAAAGCCGGACTGAAACATATCAAATGAGTTGTTGATTGAAGAAATCTATTTAGCTGTAGGTAGACAACTTTCTCAAGGACTTTCCCCATAAATGGCAGATTTGAGATGGGACGATAGTTGTTAAGTACCGTAGCATCGAGACTGCTCTTTTTTAGCAGGGGCCTGATGACTGCAGTTTTCAGGGCCTTTGGGAATATTCCAGAATGAAGGGACATGTTTACTATCTGTGTGAGTGAAGGTAACAGACTGCTCAGAACAGACTTTAGAAATCTAGTGGAGGTGACTAAAGTGCCTAACTTTTGTATCAATATCACTGCCCAGTATGAATCTGGTGTGTGCATGAATGATTGATGGTGGTGAGACAACTAAATTAGAGAATGTTGTGCTATGACAAATATGAATTTGTTGAAAAAACATTTATAGGCTGGTTGTTTTGACCATGAAATCAGTCGGATATACTGTATTACTACCGACTAGAGCGTTTCACTGAATAACTGGTGAAATTCAACCAATCTGTTTTAAAATTGTATTAGCAAAATCCTTTTCTCAAAAAAATATAGAGGGCTGCTTTTCTAAAATTAGGAACCCATTCTGTCTTGCTGACTCTTCCCCAAACCCATTTAAATTGCCTCATTGAACATACAGCTTAAT